CCTTATCGAAAACAAAAAAAAGCATCTATTCCTAACAACAAATAAACAACAAATAAACAACCAAACAACAATAAAAGAAAGAAAGAAAGAAAAAAAAAACGCGCCAATCCTAAACGAAAACAAAGGAGCATCTATTCCTCACAGCAAATAAACAAAGTAAAAGGTTAACAACAGAAACAACATCAAAAGACGCGCCAATCCTTATCGAAAACAAAAGAGCATCTATCCCTCATAACAAATAAACCAAAACAACAAAATAAAAAGAAAGAAAGAAAGGAAAAAAAACGCGCCAATCCTAAACGAAAACAAAAGAGCATCTATTCCTAACAACAAATAAACAACCAAAGCAACAAAACAACATCAAAAGAAAGAAAGAAAAGAAAAAAACGCGCCAAACTAAACGAAAACAAAAGAGCATCTATTCCTAACAAGATATAAACGACCCAAACAATAACTTCACCAATCGATCCTTTACGAAAACAAAAGAGCATCTATTCCTCACAACAAATAAACAAAGAAAAGGTTAACAACAGAAACAACAAACATCAAAAGACGCGCCAATTCTTCGAAAACAAAAGAGCATTTATTCTCCACAGCAAATAAACAAAGAAAAGGTTAACAACAGAAACAACAACATCAAAAGACGCGCCAATCCTTATCGAAAACAAAAGAGCATCTATTCCTAACAACAAATAAACAACCAAAACAACAAAATAAAAAAAGAAAGGAAAAAAAAAACGCGCCAAAACTAAACGAAAACAAAGGAGCATCACTATAGACGACATGACACGCATCGACGTCTCGGAATCGAAGCCTCAACCGCAACTTTTTGGTCAATAAACCTTGACTTTTTTTTTTAGAGGATATTTGGTTGCCTGTTGCCTCTGACCGCAGCCGAGGATTTGGGTTATTTGGTTATTATTTATTTCCTGGATTGGAGTCTTTTATTGTTATTGTAGGAGGATTAAGGTGTTGGATAATGGAGTTCGAATGTCTGTCGTCAATAGATTCTAGGTATTGGAGTGGAGGAGAATTTATGAAATGGAATTAAACTGCTTACACACACACACGCCCACGCCTACGCCCACACACACGCACGCGCACACACACACACACACACACACACACACACACACACACACACACACACACACACACACACACACACACACACACACACACACACACACACACACACACACACACACGCCACACACACACACACACACACACACACACACACACACACACACACACACACACACACACCACACACACACACACACACACACACACACACACACACACACACACACACACACACACACACATGTATGTATATGTATATATCTCTATATGTATAGATATCTGTCTATTTTATCTATCTATATATCTATATATATATATATATATATATATATATATATATATATATATATAATATATATATATATATATATATATATATATATATATATATAATATATATATATATATATATATATATACTATATATATATATATATATATATATATATATTATATATATATATTATAATATTATTTATATATATATATATACAGATGGATAAACAGATATATAGATAGATAGATATACAGATACATATAGATAGGTAGATATATAGATAGACAGATAGACAGATAGACAGACAGACAGATATATAGATAGGTAGATAGATAGATAGATAGATAGATAGATAGATGGATTGACTGATAGATAAAGAGACAGATGTGTAAATGCATATACATTTTCACGGAAATATGCTTCATAAGAATTACACACTAAGAGAAATAGGAAAATAAATAAACATCATTTTTCCTAGATATACCGTTACTCAGCAAAAAATGAAACGTAAAAAGGTCAAATCAAAATCTAAAAATAGAAAATGACATCATCTTACTTCGGCGCAGCTGGATAAAACTAAAGAAAAGGACGAAGAAGGAAAATATAAAGAAGAAGGAAAGAAAACAAAAGAAGGAAAGAATAAGACGAAGAAGGAAAATTCAAAGAAGGAAAGGAAAAAAAGAAGGAAAGAATATGACGAAGGAAAATATAAAAGCTTTGACGACAATTCCAGGCTGTTTCCAACGGTTGTCAGGGCCGCTGGTGTTGTGCAAGGTTGCTGGTGTTGTCAAGGCCTGGTGTTGTCAAGGCTGCAGGCTGCTGGTGTTGTCAGGCGCTGGTGTTGTCAGGGCCCCTGGTGTTGTCAAGGCCGCTGTGTTGTCAGGGCCCTGGTGTTGTCAGGCTGCTGGTGTTGTCAATGGCCCTGGTGTTGTCAGGCCGTTGTTGCCATGGCCCCTGGTGTTATTAGAGCCGCTGGTGTTGTCACAGACGGGCACTCTGGCTCCGAAGGGCGGCTTCCTCGGTGGCAGTCACCCCCCCCCCCCCGACGCCCTCCTTCGGCTGTCCACTCAAGGGACGGCTTTATAGGGCCTCCGCCTGACGTCTATGGCGCTCTTAAACGCCGGCTTTGTTGTCCTGCGCCCACGTTCCCACGCCCGCGACGCTCCTACGCCCCTGTCCACGCCCGCAAGTCTCTCACTCCCCTGTCCACGCCCACGAAACTCGTCCGCTCCTGTCCACCCCGCGACTCTCCCACTCCCTGTCCACGCCCGCGAGATCATACGCTCCTGTCCACGCCGCGATTGTGTTAAGTTCTCTCATACACTCCCTGGGCGCCCACGCTCACGCACATACGCTCTTATGCGGGATTAAGGACTTTTCTG